TAGAGAGAGAGAGAGAGAGAGAGAGAGAGAGAGAGAGAGAGAGAAAGAGAGAGAGAGAGAGAGAGAGAGAGAGCGAGAGAGAGAGAGAGAGAGAGAAGAGAGAGAGAGAGAGAGAGAGAGAGAGAGAGAGAGAGAAGAGAGAGAGTTTTAAAATAAAGTAGAGAATTTAAATGTGTAGATAGGAGTTAGGCCAGGAAATCCAGACGGAGATGGATAACAAATACCTCATCATAATATTCCCCTAAATTCAGTGATTAGTATTTCACCTGTTCAACTTTTAAGCTAATGAACTTTGACCCCTATTTTGGGATGTTTCCTTCTGTTTACATGTGTATCTTAGGGATTGAATTTGCACAAATGCATCAACGCGAATAGATTACTTTCCCATGTCTTACGACAATTATGTGGTTTCAATTTGCAAAATCAAATGATATACAATAGAAGAACCCATTTCATACATCTAGCAGCACAATTACATTTTCACATAGGAGCACGCGCAAGAAGGGGAACATGCTCGGGGGCTCAATTGATTTCTAACAAATGATGTGTTAGCATTCCATAATATACCCCATCAATCAAATGAGCCAAAGAACAAGGTAATAAAATCAGCTTTTTCATTATGGATTATATTAATTCTGCATGGACTTTTATTAAATAAAAGCACCCTATGTGCAAACAGGGTGATGTTGACTACTTGCAGAGGATTCTCAACAGGTCTTCTAATGTGGCTTCCTTTCCAGTTCTCTAGAGTCTAGACAGGCATGAGAGATTCATTGATTGCTGAGGAAAGTTCATCAGTCCCCTTAATTGATGCATAGCGCCGACAGTGGTACAACTTCCAAGACAAAATATTATATCGGAGAGCAGCATTGAAATTCATATAATCTGTCTGTGCAGATATTTAGGATATTTCTGCATATGTTCAAAAGCTTTCCTGAATAAAAAGGTATGGGCCTCCTGAGTGGCGCAGCGGTCTAAGGCACTGCATCGCCGTGCTAGAGGCGTCACTACAGACCCGGGTTCGATCCCAGGCTGTGTTGCAGCTCTGTGATTCAGTATGCTGACAGCCTGGCATCTACTCTACAGTAAGCCTCTAGTTCTATGTGATGGATCTTTCTGCCCTTCTCTAACTCTCTCCCTCTCTGTGACCATCACATATGCTCTCATTAGATCTGCTAAGCTAGACAAATGGAGAGCAGTTCACCTACAACTGTGAGGCCACACACGACTACAACAAGTTTGCTGACGGTCTGATCACTGATGGCGATGAGACAGCCTATAGCAGGCATTGCCCCCAAAACCTTTTTTTGGTTAAAAAATACAATAAAAATACCAAACTTTTAGGATTTTTGAATTCAGCTAAAAATGTGTTTAATTTAGGAAATCTGTTCCCAAGTATTGGCACAAATTTGTCAAATGCGCCGAATACAACAGGTGTAGACCTTACAGTGAAATGCTTACTTACAAGACCTTAACCAACAATGCAGTTTTAAGAAAAATAAGTGCAAAGTAAAAAAATGGATAAGTAAAAATTATTAAAGAGCAGCAGTAAAATAACAGTAGCGAGGTTATATACAGGGGGTACCGGTACAGAGTCAATGTGCGGGGGCACAGGTTAGTCAAGGTAATTGAGGTAATATGTACATGTAGTTAGAGTTAAAGTGACTATGCATAGATAATAAACAGAGAGTAGCATTAGCGTAAAAGAGGGGGTGGGGGGGGGGAACAATACAAATAGTCCGGGTAGCCATTTGATTAGCTGTTCAGGAGTCTTATGGCTTGGGGGTAGAAGCTGTTAAGAAGCCTTTTGGATCTAGACTTGGTGCTCAGGTAACACTTGCTGTGCGGTAGCAGAGAGAACAGTCTATGACTAGGGTGGCTGGAGTCTTTGACAATGTGTAGGGCCTTCCTCTGACACCGCCTGGTGTAGAGGTCCTGGATGGCAGGAAGCTTGGCCCCAGTGATGTACTGGGCCGTACGCACTACCCTCTGTAGTGCCTTGCGGTTGGAGGCCGAGCAGTTGCCATACCAGGCAGTGATGCAACCAGTCAGGATGCTCTCGATGATGCAGCTGTAGAACTTTTTGAGGATCTGAGGACTCATGGCAAATCCTGAGGGGGAATAGGCTTTGTCGTGCCCTCTTCACGACTGTCTTGGTGTGTTTGGACCATGATAGTTTGTTGGTGATGTGGACACCAAGGAACTTGAAGCTCTCAACCTGCTCCACTACAGCCCCGTCGATGAGAATGGGGGCGTGCTCGGTCCTCTTCTTTTTCCTGTAGTCCACAATCATCTCCTTTGTCTTGATCACGTTGAGGGAGAGGTTGTTATCCTGGCACCACAGTTTACAGGTCTCTGACCTCCTCCCTATAGGATGACTCATCGTTGTCGTGATCAGGCCTACCACTGTTGTGTCGTTGGCAAACTTAATGATGGTGTTGGAGTCGTGCCTGGCCATGCAGTCATGGGTGAACAGGGAGTACAGGAGGGGACTGATCACACACCCCTGAGGGGCCCCCGTGTTGAGGATCAGCGTGGCAGATGTGTTGTTACCTACCCTTACTACCTGGGGGCGGCCTGTCAGGAAGTCCATTATCCAGTTGCATAGGGAGGTGTTTAGTCCCATAAGACTGCTAAATAGTTAATTAAATGATTACCCAGACTATCTGCATTGACCCTATCTTGCACTGACTCTATGCACACTCACAAGACTATATATACTGTACACTATTTACATACACTACACTGACACCCACACACATTCACATACACTACATACACACACACACACACAACACACACACACAACACACACACGCATACCGACACAATACACATTCACACGAACACACACTTTCACACTCATCATAAGCTGCTGCTACTCTGTTTTTATTCTTACTCTTATTATTATCTATCCTAATGCCTAGTCACTTTACCCTGCCTTTATGTACATATCTACCTCAAATAACTTATACCCCTGCACATTGATCTGGTACTGATACTCCCAATATATAGCTTCATTCTTGTGTATTTTATTCCTCTTGTGTTACTTTTTTAAATTACATTTTTAACTCTGCATTGTTGGGAAGGGCTCGTAAGCAAGCATTTCACAGTAAAGTCTACACCCGTTGTATTCAGCGCATGTGACAAATAACATTTGATTTGGATTTGTTTCGCTGCTGTGTGACTGGCTAGGGGCACTTCAGCCATGAAAGGTCAGAGAGCTCAACGTGCTCAGAGTAGGCGTGCTGATTTAGGATCAGTTTTGCCTTCTATATCAGAATGAATGAGGTTATATGGACAGGGGGGGGGGGGGGGGGGGGGGCCTGATTATAGGTCAACAATGCTACAGATGTAGGATCTTAATTTGAGCCTGTTTGCTACAGCAGGAAAATAATCATTCAGCAACAGAAATTGTTAATTATTATGTGGTTAAAATCAATGGGGAAGCCAAGACATGAAAAAAAGCCATATTACAATCAATGTGTTATGGTAATTGCGTTGTTTGCTGCTCTATAACCCGTTAGTTCATACACAACCATGATAAGGCTGAGACAACAAGAAGACAACAGTCACAGTGGGCAGAATAAATTCAACCACACGTTTGTTTCATCACAAAATCAGAGGGCAACATCCGTCTGGTGAAGTCCACAAAGCATATTGCATGTAACAAACATGACCTACAGCATGGTCAAGCAAGTGAATGTTTCTGACATTTTCGGGGTACTAACCTACTTTTGATTTAGAACCACGGAGTGTTACCGCAAGTCGCAAAAAAACAGGAGATGCCTCCGCTAACGTCATTCAAGCACCATTTCAACTTCAACATTTCATCATCATCAAATCACTTAAGCTTGGTCTAATACAGGGACAACTTAAAGATTCCCAATACTATTTAGTCCAATCAACATACGCCACTGTATATATCATGTGGCTGTCCGTGGTACTGATTTATGTGTGTGTGTGTGTGTGTGTGTGTGTGTGTGTGTGTGTGTGTGTGTGTGTGTGTGTGTGTGTGTGTGTGTGCACGCAAGTAGAAAAAACATGTTGACCCACCCTACTTGTAGAGGAACGCTAATACCATCCTCCTGTCTTTCATGTCGCCAAAACGGTGTTAGTAGCCTACATGCTTTTAGTTTATTTTGTCCTAGACTAGGCTACCTGACTGAAAGGCTTGTGATGAGCCAGCTAGCTAGTTAACGTTAGCCTACTACATCGAGCTCCATATTGAACTTCCATCCTCTCATGCCAGAGGCACAGTGTAAGATTTTATGGTTGGATTAGAATTTCAGTTATAATCATTGGCAGGGATACCAAGTCCAAATCCCCATCTTTATCCATGGCTTATTTAGGATGTGGATTATAATTAATGGACATGTTTTGTAGCGGTTGATACATTTTTCGTTAGGGCAAATCAAGTCTGATATTTTAAAGTGGAAATTACAAACTTTAGAAGCCTTTTTAAACTTTGAATACACTACAAGTTTGCATTTCCTGCTATGCAGGAAGATTTACAGCAACAAAAGAGTGATCAAATTAAGATCCTACATCTGTACTCTGAGATGCTTGACACATACAGCTCCAGAACTCCTATGGGTGTTGAAAGAAAAAATATTGACTTCAGTTCTACTCAATCTATGTACAGACAGATTTTATGCAATAACAAAGCACTTTTTACATAACAACAAAGCATTATTGTTTTCTAAAACGCAAACATACTATCCATTCCCCTGGTACTCCCATCTTCCAGACACGTCAGACGACACCAAAAGAACGTGGTCCCTACCTACCGTCTGTTTTTGTTTTATTGGCTGGCAGAGGGGCTGTCAAACGCTGGCTGAGCAGATGGTCTGAAGCGACCCTGGTTACTACCTTGTTACATATCGTCCCTGCCTGCATGGTGCCTAACAAGGGGGCAGGGAAAGTTAAGCATCTGTTTGGGGACCGCCAATGGGATCCATGCTGCCTGACAGACACCGAAAGAGACCGACTAACCTCTTTCACTGAGGACCCTGTTCATACTGCAGCTCCTGGACAGCTCGGACACATGTTTGCTGTTGGACTGTCCCTATGGGGATGAAGCTAGTGGATACATTATGACTGTATGACACATTTTGATGGCTAGACGTCCAGCCGGCTGTGAAGGGGTGCTTTCATAACAATGCTTTATCTGAATCATTGGAATATCATATGCAGTAATTATTTAGATAAAGCTTGGAACAGAAGAAAAAGGGCTACCTATAATAACATTTTACAAATATCTAGCTTCTGTGTGGTAAATGTGGCAGCAGGTAGCTTAGTGGTTAAGAGCGTTGTGCCAGAAACCGAAAGGTCGCTGGTTCTAATCCCCGAGCCGACTAGGTGAATAATCTGTCGGTGGGCCCTTGAGCAAGCCACTTAACCCTAATTGCTCTGGATAAGAGCGTCTACTAAAATGTAAATGGCACGTGTCTATATACATTGTGTATAGGCTTGTCTCCCATATGAATCTTCTCTTTGTACCAGACTGGGTTCAAATGCCTTCTGTTTCTTTTGTTTTCTGTATTTATTCATCTGTATACGTTATGTATGTATGTGTATATATACAGTGTGTATGTATGTATATTATTTTACGGCTCCAGGGATATAATTATTGTTTGGATAACCTTATGTACTATTATGTATTGATTTTTACCTTACATTTTTTCACTCGTTATGCGATGCGCAATGCAGAGAACACCGGAAGAAGAATTATCATTGAATTACCACAGTGAATTATTGTAATGTTTGTTTATGTGTCAATTAATCCCATAAGGGATGGGTTGCCAATTGGCGATTTGACACAAAAAAAACGTCATTCATTCATTTCATTCATACAGAGGAGAATTTAAAAACATCAATGAGAGTCACTGGATAAGTGGCACCTTCCAGAGCATCTACATTGAGGTTTCCCTGCAATACAATACAGTCTGAATGTTTGTTTGAGTTTGGAGGGTGGCTATTACCTACGATCATGTGGTTGCAGACGTCGCAGAAGGTGGGCTTCTTGAAGATGTGCTCCATGAAGCCGTGTCCAGTGGGGTCGATGGCAAGGGGGTGGCGTCCCGGGGAGTAGACCAAAGAAGGGGGGGCGCACGGGATGGCCGGGGGCGCATTAGAGATCACCAGGTTGGAGGTTGAGAGAGGGGGGGCATGGTGGATGGGGTGGACTGGGTGGACGGGGTGGACGGGGTGGACGGGGTGGACGGGGTGGACTGGGTGGACGGGGTGGACGGGATGGGCCACCGCCACCCCGATTACGCTCAGTTGGCACGTGCTGCTGCTGTTGTCAGAGAGCAGCTCCGTCGACAGCTTGGCGTCATTGTTGTTGCGCTGGAAGAAGTTATCAGCGCTCTTGCTGCGTATGCTCTTGGTCTTGAAGGAGAGGGAGCGCTTCAGCTTCTGCATCTGCAGAGCGAGAGAGAAAGGGAGAGAGAGCGATCAAGAAATTGATTGAGAAGAAATTGACTTTAAAACTTGTTTATTATCGTATAATATTGTACAGTATGTATCAAATTCATTCAAATTGGCTTCATTACTGTAGCATGGGTATCTTTGCTCCATAAAGGTGCCATAAAATAATTACTCCTTATGACTTCTCATTGGGCTGTTCCAAGATAACTCACATTGAGTCTTGCCTCAACTGAAAGAGAAAACCATTCATGAATTTTCACTCATATAAGTCACTCGTATATTTCTGATGTTCATAAGTGGCCACTGAAATTGCAAAGGCAACCTGCATTTCTTTTGAGAAAAACGCTGTATAGGTTCGGTCCCCAACCGGGTTATGCTTTGCATCATGGAGGAATCATTTCTACCATGCTGGGCCATAACCTGAATCAATTTCCTTACGGCTTCTCTTTTTTTGTTGGTATAATTTATAGAGCAACCCGGGAGACAGGAAATGGCTCCTCTACCACCTCTACAAATGTATTTCCTCATCTTGAAGGACTTATCATTTACCACTTGGGTCGTGACAAACTCTCAACAAAACGACTCTCCACCAAACTATAATTTCATTGCCTCCGTATATCTGCCCAGTCAGTGCCTGCAGCATCACATTAAAGAGCACTTCTTTATAAATGATGGTGAATGGTGGTCAGAGAATGGACTCATTAAAACCATTATGTTCAGGGCTGGGTCTGTAATGGGACCCAACACCATGGTGGACTGAGTGCCTATTTTCATCTTGTCATTTAGGTGCATTTTGTCCCTGCTGTTGATCTGGTTTCATTACATTGGCCTCAATGATTTCCAGGTTCCATGACTGGAAAGTGTTGAGGATAATAAAATGTTTTGTTGGATGAACAAATCTCCTGTGGTGACCAATGATTGCATTTTTTCTAATGCAATGTGCAACGTGTTCCCCTGTTGTATTTTCCATTCAAATGAATCCAGCAGTGAAACTGAGTGGAGTTTTGGCAGCATGTGTGTATGTGATCATGACATGTTGATCAATCTGGTCAATCTGGAAACAATTAATTCAGCCCCCTACTAACCCCCTACCACCCACACACCATGGTACTCTGGGAGTTCAGTAAAGCTGTCTTTTCACAATTAAGCTTTGATGTAGTCTAGCCTTGACTCTAGGAGATGGTGATTGGAAAATAAAATACCTATCGATCATGTCTAGATCCAGCCTACTTCCTCATTGAGAAAGGCTGCCTTTTTTGTCTGCTTACCTTCTCAGTAATGAGATTGAAATAAAAAATTAATCCTAAATTGTGGCATCTTGAAAGTCAAATTGCAATGTTATAATTGAATTAAACAGATAAGATGGGGTAAGACATGAGCTGATAACGTATCTAAGGAATACCTGTTCTCCATTTCAACATGACCTGGCTGAGAAGTATAATTATTTAAAAAAAAAAAGTTCTAGCTTGGGGATGGACAAAATACAGATGTGTTATCATTGCATTTTGCACTTTTTTCTCTACTAAGACCAGAGAGAGAGACATAATACACCAGAAGTCAGTATTTTATGAGCATCTGTGTTACCCACTCTATCATGAGCTTAGTGGCTGGAATCCTTAAAGGCCCTACTTGTGCGCATTAAAGAAGTCGGAGAATTGGAGAGGTGGGATCTATCAAAAATATATTGTGCTCTCTCCCTCTCTCAATAAGGGCATGATGTGTCTGCGCTGTGATTTAATGGAAGGAAACAGAAAACATACTGTACCTCAATGCCCATCTAAAATTATCTGCCATGTTTTCTATTCTATAGAAAATATGTTTACTGGTATGTTGCTCCCCTTCCATGAATAATAAAACAAACTATGAAGAACTTTCAGCTATATTTCTATAAAGGCAGCTGCCACTCAATGCGCTTCGTCATAAACAGTAAAGGCTCAAGGCTGCAGTGTTCTCTTTCTCAAGACTAGAACTCTACATTAAGGTCTTCCTCAGCATAATAAGACAATAAATGAATCAACAGACCAGACTGTGGGGATCCCATTAGGAAATGTCCTGGCTGTTGATACAGGATCCATCACAAGAGCAATAGCCACATGAACAAGATTAAAAAGAGCCACTCTATCATACTTCACAGGGGGCTAATGAGAACGGGGGATTTCAATCTAAAAGCTAATTTACCAAACACACCTCAGGGAATATCATGAATTATGAATTTCCCTAGGCAGCTTAAATAGTGTTTCTCATCGAGAGTATATAAAATGGAGGTTTTAGCAAAGAGGCTGATTAACGTTTTGATAGGGCACTTCACTTTTCTTACTTTATGAACCCCAACTTTCCCTTAAAAGGAAAAACAATGAAAGTCACATTGAAACAAATGAAAGAGTCCCTATATGGTGTCTTTAAAGAAGAAGCCTTGTTTATTTCTCTGCAACTTGTATTACAAATGGTTTACTATGCATTCCGAGTTAAATCAACAGTCTGTGCCATGTGCATTGAATCACACATGTGAGGTTTGGTTTCATGCAGTATTCTAACATTCTAGAATGACCTAGTATAAGTGGCATTCTGGGAACAGGTATAATTTCTCATTAATAAAAAAGTATCATGACACCTGACTAAATAACTAATTATCCATTCAGAAAGCAATCAGCATACTCACAGTCACACACCTCTCTCAAAGGAACTCAACCATAACATCCCAACTGAGACACCTGGAAGAAATTAGTACAGTTGCTTGCCCACAGCTGCTAACTACGCCAGGATACCTGCTACAAATCCCTTCAAATAGCAGTCTAGCGACCACATTTACTGATGTGTAGAGATGGGGAGTGCTACAAACTAATGTAACAATGAAAGGGAAAAATGTTTCATTTTGCCATCGCTGGAGCAACTGGCTGCCAAGGAAAGAGAATGGAAAAACTGAAATGGTTTCTCTCAACTTGAGATTGTCATTTACGAGAACTGAGAAGCATGTCTAAAGTGTCCCACATAAGCCAGAGAGATTTGGGACAGGAAGGGAGTGTAACTGGCTAAAAATCTACAACCATAGTGATAGTGACTGGTCCAGTATTTTAGAGCTAATTATAGCTAGGACTTACTCAGGGCTATGGGTAACCCAGATAAATAGGTGTGGACCACAAAATTAGACAAAATGCCAATGGCAGAGCTGGAACCTTCCTATAGTTCCCACGTGCAGCAACCCCCACCAACTTTTAGGGTCCATCTGTCTGTCCTATTCATAAATATTCAGCTGTTTATGATACTGTACTTTCATTGGCAAGCTTGGATATGATACTGTACTTTCATTGGCAAGGTTGATATATTATTATTGGCTGAAAACAAGCAGTGGAAACACTTCACTGGAATCAGTGGGAAAACTCAATTCAGACTAAATCGAACTCAGGAACAATTAATGTTGTTATTATAGGATTTTGAGCTATAGTACAACATAGTAGCCTAGAATAGTATTTCAGAGTATATATAGGTTAAATGTGTCAATCATATAAGTTTACTTGAAGAATGCCTATTGTGGGACAGATACTTAGATACATAATTGAATACATGAAACATGTATGAATGGGTGGAATATACAGTATGAAAATATTTTTGTTTACAACATGATGCACAAGTATGACCATGTGCAATATATGAGCCATTTAAAATATATACAAAATATAATTAATTGACCATTTGGTTAAATGATTGAAAGTTGAATGTCTAAGCTTTGGCTGTTCCAGACAGATTGAGAGCCAGTCATGCAGGTTCTTTATCTATTTTAAACCATTTCACGATCTATTGATTCATGGAATGGGCGCATCACCTAAAAACCGACCTTCTTGGGTACCACTACCTTTGTCTCCTGTTGACTCGCGCTGGGCGCTGGTGACTGAGGGGTCTCGTGCTGCTCGCGCTCGTTCTCCTTGCCCAAACTCTCGTCTTGCATGATGTTAGCTGGTGGAATCATTTTCTCTCCTCTTGGACCAAAAAAACTTAAAGAGCGGCTTCGGTTTGCGCTGAGGACTTTGTACACTCATGTGCAGCTTTGAATATCTCAGTTGGCTACATTTTTCAGTGTTTCTTCATTCTTCGTCGTGACTTCGTTTTCAACTGTCCTGAGATGAGAAGACGTCTGACGGCGGTTCTGCAAGATAGGCTACAGAATCGACTGCGGGGAAAATAAAACAATTTGGTGCGTAGAATACATACTTGCAAGCCAATTTACTTATAATTTCACCCACTATCGACTTTGTTCGCTACTTTTCCTCACTCTCCTGCTGCGTAATGTTGCCAACAACCCATCCGTGTCCATGCGCGCGCTGCGTGCGTCTGGTCTTCAGCTGTTCGCGCCCTTGCTGTCAGTGATCAGCCGGATTCTGCTGTCAGCTTGTTTATGGGCGGATAGCTGAGCGCTTGCCTCATTGCTGTAAAGGGAGGGGTCTTTCTTGTCAACGTAGTTTGGTAAGGCAGGTCCAGACAGCCTTCCATTTCTGTCATCATACATTTCAGAAAGAATACTACATATATTTTGTTATTCTGGTTCAGATTGAAGCAGGCAGCTGGCAGGCTATTATATTTACATAGGCTACATAATATACATGTTAATACATGTTATAAAAAGCAATTTCTGAAGTACTGTATGTTATACAATAATGATAAACTTTTTACTATCTACTACTTTACATTTTTGTCCAATTCATATTCTGGCAATACTTTTACCCAGAGGTGTCATGCCCATAGGGGGCACAAGGACACGTGCCCCCTCCGAATTGTCCTGTTTTTAAATTTTTCATTATTAAACTTATTTGTTAAATGCACATTTTATCATAATTATTTATAAAAAGATCTGTCAACTGTATTTTGCGGAGGGGGCAAACTGACTGGACCAGGCAAAGAGGAATACTCAAATTGCTTTAATTCTTGGGTTATGACTGACAATTAGCACTTACAGTGCCTCCAGAAAGTATTCACATTCCTTTACCTTTTCCACATTTTGTTGTTGTTGCAGCTTGGATTTAAAATGGATTACTTTGAGATGTTATGTCACACAATACCCCATAATGTCAAAGTGGAATTATGTTTTTCGACATTTTTACAAATTAATAAAACAATTCAAAGCTGAAATATCTTGAGTCAATAAGTATTCAACCCCTTTGTTATGGCAAACCTAAATAAGTTCAGGAGTAAAAATGTGCTTAACAAGTCACATAATAAGTTGCATGGACTCACTAATAATAGTGTTTAACATGATTTTTGAATGACTACCTCATCTCTGTACCCCACACATTCAATTGGTTGAATCTGTGTTTGAAATGTACTGTTCGACTCAGTCGAACAGTACATTTCAAACACAGATTCAACCACAAAGACCAGGGAGGTTTTACAATACCTCGCAAAGAAGGACACCTATTGGTAGATGGGTAAAATTAAAATTAAAACAGACATTGAATATCCCTTTGAGCATAGTGAAGTTATTAATTACACTTTGGATGGTGTATCAACACACCCAGTCACTACAAAGATACAGGTGTCCTTCCTAACTCAGTTACATGAGAGGAAGGAAACCGCTCAGGGATTTCACTATGAGGCCAATGGTGACTTTAAAACAGTTACAGAGTTTAATGGCTGTGATAGGAGAAAACTGCAGATGGATCAACAACATTGTAGTTACTCCACAATACTAACCTAATTGACAGAGTGAAAAGAAGGAAGCCTGTGCAGAATAAAAATATTCCAAAATATGCATCCTGTTTGCAACAAGGCACTAAATTAATACTTCAAAACATGTGGCAAAGCAATTAACTTTTTGTCCTGAATACAAAGTGTTATGTGTGGGGCAAATCCAATACAACACCATACTGAGTACCACTCTCCATATTTGCAAGTATAGTGGTGGCTATATCATGTTATGGGTATGCTTTTAATCGTTAAGTATTGGGGGAGTTTTTCAGGAACAAATAATCAGAATGGAGCTAAGCACAGGCAAAATCCTAGAGTAAAACCTGGTTCGGTCTGCTTTCCACCAGACACTAGGAGATTAATTAACCTTTCAGTAGGATAATAACCTAAAACACAAGGCCAAATCTACACTGGAGTTGCTTACCAAGAAGACAGTGAATGTTCCTTGGTGGCAGAGTTACAGTTTTGACTTAAATCTACTTGAGTATCTATGGCAAGACCTGAAAATGGTTGTCTAGCAATGATCAACAAACAATTTGACAGAGCTTGAATAATTTTGAAAAGAATAATGGGCAAATGTTGCACAATCCAGGTGTGGAAAGCTCTTAGAGACTTACCCAGAAAGACTCATAACTGTAATCGCTGCCAACGGTGCTTCTACAAAGTATTGACTCAGGGGTGTGAATACTTATGTAAATTAGATATTTCTGTATATAATTTTAAATAACTTTGCTACAATTTCTTAAAACATGTTTTCACTTTGTCATTATGGGGTATTGTGTGTAGAGGGTGAGAAATTTTGAATTCAAGCTGTAACACAACAAAATGTGGAATAAGTCGAGGGGTATGAATAGTTTCTGAAAACACTGCATATACCAGTTGTACTTTTTATTTAACTTGGCAAGTCAGTTAAGAACAAATTCTTATTTACAATGACGGCCTACCCCGGCCAAACCCGGACGACACTGGGCCAATTGTGCGCCACCCTATGGGTCTCCCAATCACATCTGGATTGTAATACAGCCTGGAATTGAACCTGGGTCTGTAGTGACGCCTCTAGCACTGAGATGCAGTGCCTTAGACCGCTGCGCCACTTAACTCCTAAGGTATAAAAGTTCTTAAAGAATCAATGTGCATCATTTATTAAAATGACAATTGAACAGGTAAAGAGGTATGCTTAGATAACCTATGCAGAAAAATATACGTATTCTTGACATAAAATTAGGCAGAATGATTATATCTCTAAATTGCAGGAAAAAGCTGTTTCCTGCAATTCTCTCCCCCCCCCACACTCCATCCTCACGTACATCGTGCCTCCTCTAAAATAATAGGTGCATGACGCCCCTGCTTTCACCTTGAAGTTCCATAATTACCCTGTCACTCTCCAGATCAAGCATATCTTGTTTAAATTAGAAGACTTGATGAAAATCCTTCAAGCAATTGGAACAAAACCCCATGACATTAGGTATAATTAATATTTGTTCTATTTCTGCATACCTTCTAAATTACTTTTGCTGGAGAGCAGAGACAGAATTCTGCTAGAGACAGTCAATAAAATACAATTGCCGTCTTTATTGCCAATCAATTTGGTATAATTCCCCAATATGTTGAAGCCACAAACAAAACATCATGCATATGTTTTCTTTTTTCTTATGTGTTTTCATTGTTTTAGATTAATTTGTTTGTAGTGCAGGACTATAATGACTTGCAATAGGCATTTCTACAAGCAAATGGACTCCCGTAATGCTCCTCTGCGAGGTTGTGTCCGTGAAATTATAGCAGAGAGAGCTAGACTGCAGCCTCACTGTGACTCGAATGCAAACCACAACAGAGCAGTGTATGAAATACAGATATTATGATACAGATCTTATATCAGGATACATTCATCCCAAATTATAATCTTAACATTATAACCTGGCCTATATGTCTACAATCAATACTGATATTTAGCCTACTCTACGGTGAAGGTTTTTTGTATTATCTCCTGTAGCTGGATAGTGCTGCTTGAAATGAATGAAGACAGCAAGCCCTTATTAACATGGTCATTTATTTTGTTGTAATCCATAACAGCAGTCAGAAGGACACATTGTGTCCACAAAGCCTTTCATCAGCATAAAGACTCAACAGAGACGGATCAACATGGTTCATGACACGTCATTATGCATAATGAAATTGCTCAAACAAGTAAGTGAAAATGACTCAACCAAGATGGTGCGTATACCGAGAACCAACTCATCACCGAAGATAAAAGGAAAATGCATCACTACTTTGAGACAGGAAGTTGGAGAGTGAAGCAAGCGAAACAATATAATTTCCAGTCTCAGCTGCTGGTCATGACTGAGAGCCAAAAGGCTAGGAGAGATGGGGGGTTAATTATATCAAATGAAGGGTCTCGGCTGAGGCACTGCGATGAGAGCTGACTTCATGGCTGACCGACTGGTTAGCACAGATTTGTTCTTTTCTATCCTTTGATTCTTTCTTTCTTTCTTTTTCTTTTTTTTTTCTTTCCTTCTTTGTCACGGCTTCCGATCAGCACCAAGGCCCTGCTTAAAGAAAACAAAGGCTTTTTTTCTCAGCCATTTATCTCTCAGGAAAGATATTCTGATGTTACATTTTGAAGGTTTCCAGTGTTGTTTTTCAATTAGCGTTCGGAGACAGAGGTTATTACCAGAGGGAGAGAGTGAAAAATAAAATCAGATTTATTTCCCATTATGACATATATGCAGTGGCGGTTCCCCACATTCGACGTGGTAGAATAATAAAGAGAGACCTGGCCAACTTCGTTCATTCTAACTTTGACATCTATTCATATTACTGAGAGAAGCTAATCCAGGGGGGTTGCAGTGTTTGCCAGTCTCTGGAAGAGATCCATTGAGATTGTTTGCGTGTTATGTAACTGTACAGCAGGGATCATCAATTAGATTAAAACGCGGGATGATTTCTTCTGGAGCAGGGGGGCGGAACATAATGACAAATAATTTGTAGGCTGCAAATTGACCGCAAGAAGCCCGAACAGATATAAGGTTTGACTAAAACATAATCATTTCAAACCTTACTTACATTTGTATACGATCACTTGTATCTCTATTATGCATGGGAATACTTTGGAACAGATTTCTTAAATAAAAATCACTTGGAGATGATTTCTTGGTGTTTTTACAGTCTTTTATGTCCAACAAGGAAAATTCCACCCAAAAAAAACACGGTTTTATTTATTTTTGCTCAGAAACCTTGGCGGGCCAAGTAAAACCACCCGTGGGCAGCCAGTTGGGGAACCCTGCTCTACAG